CCAGTTCCCCCCCCCCCCCCCCCCATACCCTCCCTTGAGTAGTTGCGAACTGCCTGGCTGGGAGACACTCAGGCAATGTGAGCACATCTACCAGCCAGGCAGTTCGCAGCTACAGACTGATACACCTAATAATAATAAAACTTACCTGATTAGAAAATTTCTCAATTTGTTTCCCAGACAGAACCCTCGAATACCGGACTGTCTGGTACAAAACTGGACACCTGGCAACCCTACCCTTCCTTGCACCCTCCCTCCTAGGCAGATACCCTACCCCCAATCTGCTCCTGCTCTAGCCTCCTTGAATGTCCATGCGGCGCCAGGTCCCCCAAGCCCTGACCCAGGCTGGGCGGATGATGCAGCCGGGTGAAACACTGTAAATGTATTAATTTTTAATTCTTTTTTTTACATGCGTTTATATTTTTGGGCTGCAAAAAACAGCCTTGCACCCTCCCTCCTAGGCAGATACCCTACCCCCAATCTGCTCCTGCTCTAGCCTCCTTGAATGTCCATGCGGCGCCAGGTCCCCCAAGCCCTGACCCAGGCTGGGCGGATGATGCAGCCGGGTGAAACACTGTAAATGTATTAATTTTTAATTCTTTTTTTTACATGCGTTTATATTTTTGGGCTGCAAAAAACAGTACTGAAAAAAAATGGGTTCCAACTAAAGTAAAAAGTTTGGGAAACCCTGATCTAGCCAGCTTTCTGTCCATCTTACAGTCCATTTATCCAATCCATATTCCCTTAACTTGCTGGCAAGAATATTGTGGGTGACTGTATCAAAAGCTTTGCTAATGCTGGCACTGGGGGCTTTGGGAGGACCAGAAACAACTTATTTGAATATTCATCATTTGCTTAATGAATATGAAAATATGCAAATGAATGTTCCCAGTCCTCCAAAAGCTCATGAAAGGATTTACTGGTCCCTTTGTCAAAAAGTTTGGGAACCCCTGCACTGTACTACAACAAGCCGTGGCTTAAAAGGAGAATACAAAAGCTTTGGCATTTCATTTTATTAAACAGTTCAATATACATGGGAGGAAACTCATGTTATAACCAAAATTAAACTTAAGTGAAAAATTAGCACGACACATTAATATAGGCCCTGATCCTGGAAGGCAGGGGTTTTCAAACTCTGGATTGCAGCTTGTAAGGGCAAGCTGCTATCTGGCCGCAAGATGCTTTGTTTACCTGCACCTCCACAGGTATGGATGATTAAAGTTTCTGTTGGCCACAGATCATTGCTTCCTGTAGCTCCCCTTGGCTGAGAACAGTGAATTGCAGTCAACAGGAG